TAATATTATATAATTATAATATATAATATTATATATCATATATATGCCAAATATATATTTCGTTGAACTTCATAGGATTTATCAGTTTCTCCGCCGTTCTGTTTTTCATCTGGAATTAATTCTCTTATTAGACAGTTATTGGGTGAGTATTTGCCAGTGCGGAGAGTACAGTGGTAATTCTGTAGTTGGTTAAACCCATGCGCATCCCTTGTTCAGTACAAACATAACTACACTAAATCGATAGCTTTTAAATTTGAAATTTTAACTGAGCTCTTTAATGAAAATTTGTCCTCCTCATTTTGCCTGACATTCCCAGTACCGATGTTGTCGGTAACATCACAGTAAAACTATTGCACCTTCATAGATACGGCCAGGGCTTGATGTTGCCTCCTCTGAAGTCAACATACAATCGATATTGTTCATTTATTTGTTTAATTGTTGCTAAATGCTATAAACAGCGTGAACTGTGTTCCCTCCAAAAGGGATTCAATCATAAATTGATCACATCATTTTAAATATCGCCTCACGAGAACTCATCTAGCTTTTTGACTTGTCATTTACCTACGTACTTGAACCAATGCTACATATTTTCCATTGTTGACCGCGTTCGCTACCTACCGATCTGGGAGTACTTTTGGTAAATGTAGGTTCTCTAGCTTACTCTAAGGTACAGACTGTTATGCTAATCTAAATATTGAGCTGTTGGAAGTTTGCAGAACGACTCTGGGTTGACTTGACTTTGGGGACATCAGTAGCGTTATTTTCAATCTCCTCCTGGACATCTTCAGTGCGACATATCCACAATCTTCCATTTGATCACAGGCTTTGAGTATAGCTTTGGTCTCCCACTCAGCGGTTGGCTATCAGCCTGCACCTATATGTATTCCTGAAGGGCGAACGTTGAACGTTAAGTAGTTGTAGTATCCATTTTCTAGATCTTCTGTTCTTCGAATGGGTTCGCAGCATTGCAGTATTCGTTTGTAATACCGTATCTCAAAGATTTTAATACTGTGCATCTGTAATACTTCATATTTCAGTATGATTTCTCTCTCGAAGAGCACGCCATATCGTTATATTACAAGTGCGCAATCGAAAGGCCATTGTTGCTGCGCCGAGTTGCCGTACCAAATGTGAATGGCCATCCAGTGGGCATGCAACTGGCCCCTATGCAACCCATGTTGACGTTCGAACCGGACAAAAGCCGACATGCGGTTAGTTTGCACAAGGGCGTCAGTACTTCACATATTTTGCAGCCAACTCCTGCCCAATGCTCCCAGAAGCCTTGTGGAGTAGCTAGTGACAAAATCAGCTACGAGGAATTCGAGTGCTCAGAAAATAACCCGTTTGACTTTGCTGAACTAAAGTCACTGAACGATCTGGAAGAATTGAAGGTTGTTCTTCAGCCGGGCGGCGAGCAGTCTAACATGCGGCACTGCCATAGCATCGATTCAGAACTAAGTAGAATGCATGCCGCTGTCGATTCTACTGCCAATAGTGACGTTCATCCGGCGTCTGGCGTATCGCGGAACGGCGAAAGTGACCATGATCAGTCCTCTTGTTCTGTACTTGATATTGCACAATTCCCGAAGCAAGTAGCCATCAGAAATACGTACATTCCCTCATTAACTCTGATTAATTCTACTACACCTGTTTACCGTCCCGTTCTTCGATTTTAGTGCTAGCATTTAAGGCACTTCGTTCCGACTATTAACATCTACGTGAACTCTTGTTTTCAACATCTTACATACAGAACAAAGCATCTTTCCAGGTCATTTCAAGTGACGAAAATTTCTTCAGTTGCGAACGAGCTCACCGGTCCCTCTCTTCGTTCCAGTATTGTAATTTCTGCGGTTTATGATAATCGTTTGTCACTTGTTCTACGGTTGTTCTTCGATCGACAAAATTTTCAAAGAATATTTTCCGTTGTACTTTGTCATTAACTGCAGTCGAATTTTTTAAAAATTTATGGAATATTTCATGTTGCAGCAAAGCAGTTCATTAAACTACACTTAAGTTTCAAACTATTCTTGATCTTGTGTTCGGTCAATAATATATTTCCTTCTCGATCAGTGGTGTTTGACGCATTCGTAATTATCCATACAATTTTCACTGACTTTGGATGCAACCTTTACACAGAAACCCCATAACATGATCATGTAAACCGTAACTTCTGTGTAACGGTTATCGCACGGAAAATGAAAGTGAATCAACAGTGATGGTTATCGACCTCCTCTTCCCCATCGCACACCGTTCATTATTGCTGTTTACCATTTGCAGCCACTTACTACAATGCAAAAGTGATTACATTTTAAGTTTGGATTTTATAA